GGGGGGGGGGGGGGTGTGTAAGATCTTGGGAATAGAAGCAAGCCAAGTTGAATGCAGGGGCATCTAGTCAAGTACCGGCATTTTCTCTCTAATCATGGATGCGCGGGCCTCATATCTGAATGTAAAGAAGTCCCGCAGTTTGTTTCTTGAGCAGACAATCTAAGAGATCTCCAGAGGGGGACCATGGAACCATGGTCTCTTTGTAAAAGCCTGAAAAAATTTATTGTCAGTTTAATCATCTATAAGAATAATGAAAAGGTTTCAATAGATTTCGATGGAAGTACATTGAAAGGTCATGACGAAAAGGATAAATCCAATTCCTTTTTGAGCTTCATATTTCTTATGAGATCTAACTTCTATTGTTGTTGAGGAAGGATTTGTAATAGACGACAAAATATTTTTATAACACCTGAAGAGGTTGTTGAGAGTTAATTTTAAACCTTGCATTGTTACAATAATGCATAACAAAAGGGTACGTGATCCAGTAGACCATATTTCTTCTCGATTCAGTGTATGGAAGTATCTCGCTTAATAGGTTTGGATGTCTCGCTATAGTTTTGCGGTTGTGTGTGGTTAATACAGGAGGATATTTTATCTGATAAAGTTGAGGCTGCCTACAACCGAATGCATACATATGCATGCGCGCATAAATATGCACTTTGTACACATATTTAATAGCGAATTCTTTCCATTAGTGCATTCTAATTGAGGATGATTGGAGGGGTAGATTGGTTACATATCTAATTCCCGGCTCTTGTTCACACAAAGTGGCTCCTTCTTTGACTTGAACCTGGGATGTCAAGCTTAACGATGGTATATGTACCCACTAAATTGCCTATGGAAGCACAGGCCAAATGCTTCCGATATGTGGATGAGCAAACCACCTCGTGTTCCTTCAAAAAGCAAGCCAATAAAATACTAATTTGAACTTCCGGAGCAACTTCAATTAAACACCTAGCTTTTCTTTTTCAAAAATATGTGAACATCTGAGTCTATATTTTTTTTTTTTTGGATTTGTGCTGCCAACACATCAGAGTCATGTTGTACTTGTGTTTTTTTTTTTATCTGTCCTTCTTAATGAATTTTAATTTTCCTGGGTCAAAGTTTTAAGTATAGAGAAAATACTTTTATTTCAAGATAGTTCACACCAAGGGTGAGTTCAAGTCATTATATACTCTAGACCAGTATTTGGGTCTCCTAAAAAGCTCAAACACTTCAAATTGAGGTGGGGGAGCCAAGAGGGTAGGTGTTGTGTTGGCATTTACCATATAAAGAGTAACACGAGCTCAACATTATAAAATAAAGAAATTATCTCATTTGCCCATCCCATCCATGAATATGAGTATGATTGAGGAAACAGAGGATTCCCCTCAAAACCTTGGATTATATGTCTTTTGTAAATGCCATGTCTCTCATTGCAAATGAATATGTGATGCTCTTGTTGATCCAATACTTTTGGGATTATGCTTGTTAAGTGTAGAGGATTAACATAATATTAGAGATAAATAGAGAGAGGTTAAAAACTTAACCTATCTCTCATACATTATTTATCTTTATAGTTAACTTACAATAATAAGAATTACACATACACCTTCTTACTATTAACAATTTACATATATTACCCTCCTATTCTTAATACTC